ACATATAGACTGTTCTAAATCCCGCAAGACTGCTTTCTTCATAGTCACCGCCGTGAAAACCCCAAATCTTACACAGTAAATATGTTGTTGAATTCCGTAGCATTTTCGAACATAATTTACAGTTTTATAATAAAGCTTCACATTAACGGATTGTTTATGCAGTATATTAACAATGCGTGAAATGCAGAGTAGTTTTTTTATATCATGAGGAGATTTTCGGTCAATTTAGAATCCATTTCTTTCGCCGTAAAACAAAATGTAGAGAAAACAAGCGACATAAAGTTGAAATTCGCTCGCGTTTAAAATCATATAAACTTGAAAGAAAATTGAGTTCATACAATTTGTCGTAGAGGGGAACATAAGCTTAACAAACGTTGAAATTAAAATTTATGAAATAGTAATAGTGAAATAAGTGCAGTGTAAATTGTTCCTTTTGCATTAAACAGCACATTGTCAAAAGCGTAGATTATTCAACGTCAAATTGGAGGATAATTATAAATGAAGAATTCTATGGACGTGGAATGATGAGGCTGTGGCCAATTTAATAAACTCTTCTGGCATTGTTCTGGGAAGCCTTGATAGCTCAGTCGGTATATCGACTGGCTGCGGGCTGGACGACCGAGGAGTCGGAGTTCGAATCCCGTTAGGATCAAACATTTTCCCTTCTCCACGTCGTCCAGACAGGTCCTGGGGACCACCAAGCCTCCTATCCAAGGGGTACCGGGGGTGCTTTCTCCGGGGGTTAAGCGGCAGGGGGGTGAAGCTGACTACTCACCTCCAACTAGTGCCGAGGTAAATAAAATGTGGATCTATATATCAACTCCCCCATACGCCTTCATGCTATAGTGCTAAATTAGTTAAGCACAGAGACAACTTTTCTGGCACTGCTCTGGAGGCATCAATGGAAACTGCAAAGAAATTCGGTTTCACCAGTTTCAGGATCGAGATTAGAAACGGCACTCTCGATCAAGATTGATAATTGCTAATCACTACCCCTCAACGTTCCTCAAGTAGCACAGAAAAGAGCTGAAAATGTAAATATGAATGCACAATTTATCGTCAGACTGGTTTCCGCAGCTGAAGGGGAAATCCTCCCGTACAGACTCATCGCTGTGGTCACTGTTTACTGCCCGCTTTTCTGCATAAATTTAACTTACCTCACGTTTAAATAGTCTCTCGAAGAGATGATCCTCTGCTGTTGAGCATGCCTCACATCGTGAGAATATGGTTCTAGACACATCTCGAAGCAACTGCACGGAAATAGCGGAAATTTCATTCCTTATATCCCCTTTAAGTTACGTATTTCAAAATGACCAGGTTTTTCATATACAATTTTTTTTTCAACGTACCACTCAAATAAAAGTTATAGGGGTATAAACCTGTATCGCGTAATTTTCGGAGTCTATAATCCTCGGCTTATTACTCGTTCACCTAAGACTTCATTATTGCACCCACAGAACGGTTCTCCGTGAGTGACGTTGCATTATCTGTCATAAAACGCCTACGCGAACCTCTTCATCGGTCAGAGAGAATCAATCTCATATTACATTCGGAATGTATTGTTTCGTGATAACACACGGATACAATTATTCTATGCGAATTAATACACATCAAATGTAAACTTTTAAATCATGAAATGACACTTCATGAAAAGCATCGATATTTTCTGTGCTCGAGAATCTCTTATTTTGGCTGTATACGTAACCACTTAAAGAGAATTAGCCCTCGTCAGAATTAACATTAATTTCTGTGTCATAAAGTTCACTGGGTACCAGTTCCTGAAACCACCTATAGCATTAAATTCTTGCTTTGCCACTTCAGAATAAAAGTTAAGTTCTGGGTCAAGAAGTCCACTGCATGCCTATTTTTTGAGACCAATAACAGTGTCCAATTCTTGCTCTGCAACCTGACCACAAAAGGATATGCACGATTGTAGTTTTGTAAGGTCGTAACTTAGCAACTTTGTTAACAACGTGAACTTGTCAATAAGTAATGACATCTCTGGACTTGCTTCTTGTCGAGTACCGATGTCATCAAATTCTTTAATCTGTACGTGCTTTTATGAGATTTCTTCTTGTCCAACATCCATCTCGTTAAACGTACTTTTGTAGCGGTATTATGAACCGTTGCTTTACACTGCACTGTATTCTCAGGGCAATACTTACAGAATCTTCTACGGCATTTCCTCCACGAAGAGCACAGTAAAACGCTATCACATAAGAATAATTTCTGTTCCACGTTATATTTCAATTTTGAACACGATATTTCACAACACTGCGAACTGTATTTCTACGTATGTCAAGGACAACTAGATAACTAAACACGCAGCATTGTTGAAACAAACCCCAGTGCACAGGATGAATAAGAAACGATAAGGCGACCAAGAGCGGGGAGGCGTGGGAGCATTGTATTTCCAGCCGGCCGGTCGAAAAATAAATTCGACCGTATGTATTACGTGTGAGATATAAATTTGCTACGCATAAACTGTACCTATTTTAATAATTATGAAATAAACCGAATCACAATAGTAAAAAAAGGAAAGATTGATTATGAATGGATAAGGTCCTGAAGGCCGGTCACGGTAGCCGAGCGGTCTTCGCTCGCTTGGAAACCGGGATCGGGGGTTCGAATCCCACTCAGGGCATGGATGTTTAGTTTGTGTGTGTGTGTTTTTCTGTGTTTGTGTACAGGTAGAGGCCTTACGACGAGCTGATAACCCGCCCAAGGAATCCTACCGAATGTGTAAGATCTAGAAAAAACGAAGTGAAAGGAGAAGTTCATGGAGGTAGGCCTAGGCCCACTGGGGCTGTAGTGCCAGGGGGGAAAGAATGGTCTTGAAAAGTTTAAGTTGTCGTGATTTTCGTTTATAACTTCAATTACGTACAGCCTGGAACATATAAGAATATACCCCGTTACTTGCACGGCGGTGTTTTTTTTTTCTAGTTTCTTGTGATGGGGTGAAACAGTCCACTTGATAGTCGGTCACTACAGGCCTATTGGACCAGCCGCGAATTAAAGATGATGATGATGATGATGATGTGTGGAGCAGTCGATGGAATGAGAATTGGAAAGGAAACTCAAGTACGCGGAGAAAAACTGCCCCAGTACCACTTTTACCGCCACAAATCCCACATGACCTGACCTGGGCTCGAACGCGGACCGCCGCGGTAGGAAGCCGGCGACTAACCGCCTGATCTATGGTACGACCTTTGTACCGTGGTTAACTAGAGCTCTGATAATCTGATAGGGCTCTGTAAACGTAAAGCAATAAACTAGTAAAAGGAGGAAAGGAAAAAACAAGTTGTTAGCTCCGTCACAGCACATCAGACTATCAGACGTTACAGTACTGTGGCAGGTCAATGGAACTGAGGGCTCCGTGAAGTTAACTCATTCTAACCGACCTCTGGGATGTTTATTGACTTCCTCCTTTCGTTTATCCCCCCTTCCCTATCATATTCACCCTAATAACCATCATATTCTCCATTAGCCCAGCAGCAAAATTGGAGTACCTGATACAATATAACTAGCTCCTTTGAACGCCACTAACATCAAACTTCTCCACACGCCAGGTCTCAAACGCATGCTTCAACTGTACTTATGTTCCCCTTGCCGCTGACTCTCCTCACTGTACTGCATTTCGTCTCCCCCACCCATCAGAGTGGCCGCGCGTCCTAAGGCATGCACCGTCTCCACCCACTCGAACATTTGGCTCGTGAGTTCGAATCTCACATGAGACATGGATGTCTGTGTGCGTTTCTTCTGTGTCTCTGTTATTCTATGTGTAGGCAGCGCCCTTGAAATGGACTGATCCCCTGTCCAAGGAGTCCTACAGACTACGTATAGGATTAAGCAACTGAAAAAAGCGGACAAAGCCTAACAAAAGGATGCAGACCGATAGATAGATATATAGATAGATAGTGTCACCCTCTACATGAGCTCCATGTCATCCCATAGTAATTATCTCAATTAAATCAGCTTAACAATTCTAGGTAGTCCACAGAAATCATAACGGTAATTGCTATGAAACATTTTGTATTCTGCATTTAATTTCTCATTTAGATGATTTTAAATATTAATAAACCAATATTACGTACGTAAACAGATAAAACAGAAAAATAACGAAACGTGGTACAAAACTCTCCACTGTACTTAGAAGTAAATTCAAAAGGGCTCTGATGATGGTGTATAACACTCAGGGTTACTGCGTTTTTTTGGACTTTGTCCATCGTCCGTTCTATAGAACAGAACGTTTCGGAAACTGAATCTGTTTTCGGCTCAGGTGAGGGGGTAGGAGACACCAAATCTGTGGAGTCCGTTAGTCACTGGACCCCATCACCTGACGACGGAAACAGAACCAGTTCCCGAAACGGTGTGTTCTTCTTTCTATAGAATACTGGACGATGGATGATGTCCAAAAACCCAGTAATCCTGAAGATTAGATTTGTCTTGTTCGATCTCCTAGGTCAGTATTAATGAGTTTTACTGACTTCACTCGGATTCGCCGAAAAGGCTGACGTGAGTGACTGGGTAAAGACGTGGTTCCGTA